AGTAAAGCTGACCAACCAAAACCTAAGCAATCTGCTGGTTGAACTAGGTAAATCCTATTTACGAAGACTGTAAATCTTAAATAACCAGGACAAGCTGCTTAAAGTTTATCATTGACCTTGGGACTATTCCCATAAAGTATATGAGAAGTACAGCGATACATCCTGACTGTATTAAGTGAATTACTGGTCTTTATGGGTTTCTGGACAGCAGAAATGCTATATATCTGATCATCTAGACATTTTGTGGATCAGATTCTGGTCTCATTTTTATAGGCACATGTTCAGAGTCACACCAAAAGAGTTCAAGAGTTCAAGTAGATTCTGAACATTCAGACCATTTTGCTGAATGCATTTTTTTGCAGCTACTCAACGGTTGCTCTTTATTCTGAAAAAAATCACTCTGAAGCAGTGTTCTGCTTCAATATGTCTTTGGTTTAAGATGTCCTGTGACTGAGGTTATCTTACTGGCTTTGATAAAGGTATGTTTAGGATGCACTGTGCAAAAAGAGAGATGCCCCAATGGATCCTTAGATCCAAATCCCCCTTGGTTTGCAAAAATTTTGTTTCAGTTTATTGTCATTTCCTGAAATGTCCTGAGAAAAATGACAGGAAGTATTGAAGTGAGCCTGAAATTTGGAAAAACTCTGGTGCTTCAAAGTCCTGGCTTCTTATTGAGCCTACACTGGGCTGGACATGCCTATTTGATAGAATAAGGACAGTTGCATTAGCTCAAAGTCCATTGAACATTTTCTACTTTTTACTGTTTTTCATTTTAATACACATCTTCACCCCAAGACCTGAAAAAGGATTAAAATTCCTGAAAGGAGACAGATCATTCAGCATTTCTAATCACATACCAGAATTCTCAAGACACGTAGTTCTCACAAGAATTTCTAGTCTTTGTAAACCATAAAAGGCTCAGACAACCTTCTGAAGTCCACTCTGATATCTTTAGTCATTAAAAAATAATAAGTTTTTTACTGAGAATCTAAGCTGGGTTCCCACCCCAGTGAACACATTCAATCAATCCAGTTTTCCTCTGCAGTTTCAGATAATGTTGTTTTTTTCATTTATTCATTAGGGCAGAGTAACAGAAGTCTTCATTCAAAACAAAATTCTAACAAGGCTCTAACTATTGCAAAAAAAAAGCTGAAAACGACTGCAGAGAAATATGTTTCTCTATGCATTATTTAATTGCAGGTTGTCTGATGAATTTGCTTTGTTTTACTCATGTGTGTTCCCTTTTCACAAATACTTTAGAGAAACAGCGCTGTCCTCATGAATAAAAGAGCATACTCACCTGTTTGGCCTCCATGAGAAGCAGGTGAATACTAGATCGTCTAAACTACAAATGGGTAAATTCCATTTACTTGCATTTTCCATTACCTTCACTACTTTAAAAGTGGAATTCAAATAAAGTAAGTCATTGACCTGCTTTCAGTGACACTGCTGGAAATTCCAGTCTTCGTAAGTAAGTCCTTCTAGCACATGTTCTCCTGGAAGGTAATGTAGCTTACTAGAAACAGACAATTAGTTAAATTGCCAAATTGCTTAGTTACAATAGTATAACTACTTCTTCCACTATTTATCTGGCTTTGATCAAATCTTTTAATCTTGGCTTTGCCAAGGAAGTTGATGCTTGTGAAAATTCCAGCGTTTGTCTTTTTTCCTCCAGTTATTGCATGTTTAAATTAAAGTTGATATTATTAATCTACCCTGTTCATAGAGGGGTACTATGTTTCAGGCCCAAGGCACAGACAACCCTCTCAGTACAGGTTTGTACAGCACCTATTCTTCCAAGATATTAAAGATAATAAATATTATAAGATAATGGCAAGCCACAAAAAGTGATGCTTTTACCATGTAGTTAGTCTGCACCTTACAGTTTAGGGATGCTGAAGATAGCTCAAATGGGATCCATTCTGAGAGGGAAGAATTTCTGCAGACACACAAAATCTTTTCTTAGGAGCTGTATTTGAATGATGGACAGTAAAAAGCCTCAAGCTGCTGCAGTTTGCTGTGTAGAAACTTTCAAACGTTTCTTTCTGGCATAACTGAGCACACACACATAACTAGAACCTCAGTAACATCCATTTTCATAGCAATCTTGGATCCAAAGGGGGAAAAAACAGCCATTGTCTAAAGCTCTTTTTTTTTTTTCTTTTTAAAGGTAACTTTATTTCAATGAGCTTATCGGAGCATTTTAAGAAAAGGGAGTGAAATTGCGAGGGGGAGCAGGAGGGATGTAGGGAGCATATTTTGAGAGGACAATCAAAATTGCCACTGGGCGCTGTGATGCAATTTATATGCAGAAACAGTGGCATCTAGTGGACAAGTTACTTCATTCGCAGATACGTATAGCCGCTGCTCAGGGCCTCCTTCCAATTTCACCTAAGAAGAGACAAAGTGTTATCAATCAGACATACTGAATATAAAGCAAGTCAGACAACGATAAAAGCTAGTGATATGTTTATCTCTGTCCTAAACGAAAGATTTTCACAGATGAAAGTCTGTTGTAATCCTTTTCTGTAAAAGCATTTGGAAATCAACTGTTTTGCCAACTTTCCCATCGTCAGTATGCAACTTTCTGAACACTTGTTCTTCCTGTATTAATTATATTTAAGCCCTCGCATGGCTTTAATATGCAAATTCTAGTTACTTAGTGTCACAGAGATTATCATAAATCTGTACCCAGTAGGGAGGCCAGTGGTTTGCATGCATGTATAAAAGTCTAGCTTTTTTCACCAAGATTTTAGACATAGGCAAAAATAAACCTCCAATTAATCCTTGCACACACTTATTTAGTTCAATTTTGGATGATTTCAAGCACAGAGAAGCTTTCAAAGAAAGGTCCATGTAGAGGAATAGAATAAAAACACAGTGGAGCACCCACACTGAAAGGCTTTAGAAAAAAGCTTAATTATAGAATTTCCGTGGATACAACTAAGGATGTTTATGCAGTATTAATCTTTTGAGTAAATTGATGTAAGAGTTCTTCACTGCTGAGTCGTTGTAAATGCTCGAGCGAATTGCATTCACACCTGACCCTAAGATCCTGCTCTTCCATAAGACCATTGGATTATATGTAAAACACTATGTATTTTGTGGACATACAGAAATAACATATAATAAGCAGGATGAGGGGTTGCAACATCTGTAGCAATAGTCTAGGGTGGTCTTTTGCCTTCCTTCTCCCTTTAAGTTGCAGTGTTTGCTAGTGCTGGACAAGCTTCGGAAAGCGTGCGGTGATGTGGCTGCCTTCATCTTCTTTGGCCACTTCTCCAGGTAGAGCAAAGTAAACAGTTCCTCTGTTTACCTGCAGGACCTAAATTAATTTATATGAGTGGAGTACTTGGCTTCTTAAATCTAGTGGAAGAGCTGGATGTCTGGAAACATCTTGACTGTGTTCTTCATCCTCACAGGTCTACGGAGGCATTGACGTGCCTCAATCTAGTTTTCTCTGTCTTTACCCTCATGATTTTCTGTTCTCTTTTTCTGTATATTTTCTCCCCCCTTATTCTTTATGTTTCAAACTTTCCTATATAGTGTATGCTAGTTTTCTCATCTCAACAGAGGAGATACTTCAGTGATCAGTTCCACCATAGAACAGGAGTGTAGATACTTGTGAGGGAGTTTACTTTTGTAGAGAAGCTTAAATGTTGCAATTCTAGAAAGGCTAGTGATGTTTTTGGTTTGAAGCTGAGTGCAAACATGGGTTGGCTCTTCAGCCTTTTGGCTAGATAAAACAGCCTGAGACAAACGTGGGCTAAAGGATATTAACACTATACAAAAAATTTTTTTCCTGTTACAAAGTGGGAGGGAGCGTGGAACAGGGACCTGTAAGTACTTCACCTTTCTGTTATTTTTCTCCTTGCAAACTAGAGATAATAATTCTTAACCTTTCTTTGGTTTGGAGATACCTAGGATACCTTCCTAATGTGGAAAAGGAAGCTTAAAAAGAATAAACCACCTCTACTCCCTGTGTTTGCATCAGCATTAGCTCAGTGTCACTGTGGTAGACCTAAAAGCTACTGGTTTACCTTACTAGTTATCTAGCTCATGAGTGAATATAACTAGGTGGGAGTTCTATTATTTCAGTGAAGTACTTCAACCCACTTTCACTGGATGAAACTAGGCATAACTGGGATTGGCATGAATTTTTTTTGCTGAGTAAGAGAGACCAGAGCCAAGATTTCCCTTAATGACTTTAACGTCAATGGAGATATGCAAATGGAGATCTATGTGGCACAGAGTATTATGAATGAAGCACACAATAGCACCCTGATCACATTTTTTTTACACTCCCAGATTTAATCTGTGATTTCATCTTGACAGTAGTGGAAGGTAAACCTTTGATGCTTTGAGATTTAAATTATTTCCTTGGAGTCATCTAGGAAAGCTCTTACTGGAAATAAAACATACTAGGACTGTTGATCTATTTCAGCCTACCAAATGCTCTCTTACTGCAGTAGCTACCTTATGTATCTTCATAAAATTGTTTTTTATTTTGCTACCTGTCCTCAGGTTTGTAGTGCGACTGCAGTGGTGAACTCTGAAAGTTACTTTGGTCTGTCCATAACAAATTCTATTGCAATTACAAATCATATCAGTCATGCAAGACCCATCAAGACCTTTCTCATGTTGTTTTGCAGATACCATATATTTCTCATCTGACTTTACAAGCAATTCCGTTCCAAGGCATAAGTTATAAAGGCTCACTGGCAGGAAAGGGGTGGCTGGATACATGTGGCTGAGCTGGCAGAATTATAAAGGAAAAAGAGAAGTTGTGCAAAGAAACCACAAAACAATTAGATTGCACCTTCTTCCTTCCCCGCTGCTGATTCTAGTAAGACCTCTAATGTATCCTTAGGACTCTGCAATACTGAGCCTCGCTTAGAGTGATTTTGATCAGCACCTAGTGTGGTAGTCCAGGGTAACAAAATCAGCTGAAAATGGGTTTGAGTCAAGCATTTATTATGAAATAATATATGAAATACTCATCAGGCAATTCAGCATAGATTAGTGTTGCATAAATGTTATGTCTGCTAATTAAGGTTTCCTCCAAAGTCCAGAAGGGTGGCACTTTCTTCATGTTTACATTCTCCAATTTTCTACAGTCCTTCCCTTAAAAGCTCCTTTTGCTTCATGTAGTCTAAAGCTGTACCCTTAAAAAGCTCCTTTGGCTTCATGTAGTCTAAAGCTGTACCCTTAAAAAGCATATCCTAATGCTTTTAGAATCACTGACTGGTGATTTATTCTTGCCCATATCTCAGATCTTAGGGGAAACCTGTGATTTTTTTTATTCATGCATGCAATCGTTATTTTCTTCTCTACAGGTAGAAAATGCTTGGTGGTGTATAACACATCTAGCCATTTATGGTTGAAAGCTTTGCTAAATCACTAGGACTGCACTGTATTGCAAAAAGGTTCAAATCTACAACTAGCGCATAACCAATGCAGGAGTCGTCTTGTCCACCTTAACACAAAGTACGTATCCTCTTAAATGCACGTGAAGAGATCTGCAGAAAAAATGGAAAATATAGTTAAAACACATAGATACATTGGCCATATTAATCACATACGAAGGGCTTCAAATCATTTAAGCACTTCTCTAACATTAATTCTTCACAATAGCCTGTGAGCGGGGTCGGACTGAGCCAGCTTTCAACTGTGTCTCAGCTGGAAGATTTTTTGAAAACTGCCAACTTACTTACCTCCTAGGGCTAAGTTCGGGAATTTTATGTTTTTGTTTTTAAATAAGTTTCAGACCTTCCACCTACTGTGGATTAGCATAGCTCTATTGAAGTCTGTCCCAATATCCACATTTTCAAAATTATTCCGATACATACAGGTACAGATAGATGCCCATCAGGATCTTAAGCAGATTAACTTTCTGGCTTTCAAATCAGATCAGTCCTGACAGGCAGTATCTCTATATTCTAGTGCTTACATTTTTTTTTTTCGAAAATATGGGCCAAATCTTCAGTTTTGGTGTCACAAACTTAACTATGAGATTGTGAATAGAGTGTAAAATAATGTACTAATATATTGTTCAGTCTTCAAAGACAGTCAGGACCAATGGGAAAAGGTAGGTTAAGCCTGAATATAATCCCTGCTGAATGTTAAGCAGGTGACTAATAGTGATAATTCAAACTTATCCCAGCTGAAAATATCTTACCTGTTTAGAAACTGTTAAAAAAAAAAAAGCCTAACCTGTTAAAAGAATATACAGATGTGCATGTATCTTCTCTTTTAGCATCACAGATGGCTACTGGGTAATCAGAAGAGTTTAAGAGGATCGATACTTATATTTCACAAACCTATGCCTGCCTTATTCCCAAAACATCTGTTTCTAAATGTAGTGATGAGCTGATGTAACTGCATGCAAAACCACAGGGCAAAAAAAGGATGACCATATCACAAACCTAGCGTACATGATGTACTATTGGGATGTGTCATTTTGTCACAGATTGGCTTGTGCATAGTGCCTGGTTTCTGGGCTGTGCTTTGAAGTATATTTTCGCATTGAACTCTAGCTCTAGCATGCATATGAAAAACAGAGGCAATAAAGCAAATGATGCTCTCTGTTGCACTGATGTTGAAAATCATGAACAGAACTAACAACCCATGAAAGCACTATGGATATGCTCTATGTCAATGTTTACTCTACCAACACGTGTACTAAATAGTGAATTCCATTTAAAAAAACCAGCAGCTAGCAAACTGTTACAGCTGCGAGAATGTAGAACAAGCTCAACTCCTAGCGGAATCAGACTGTATCTGAGCTATCTTAAGGATGACGACTATGAGTTTAATCCTGCTGCAGTCCCAGTGAGAGCTGAGTGAACAAGTACAAACAGATGAGTTGGAAAAGGAGCACGAGCACACGGGAAAGAAACAGGAGCAATTTCAAGCAGCATTAATAATAATGTTCTACAGCAACCAACTTATACCCTTATAGCAGAGGAATGTATAACCAAATGTTTCATTAGCACGAGCAGAGCTACAGTGATGCAGCTGATGCCTAAAACACTTATGTCCCCTGCCATTGCTCTGTTCTGTTGTCAGACACCTTTTCAGCCCCAGATGCTTCTTCCAGCCACTGGTGCTTCTCTCCTTTTCCAGTTTGTGGCTCTGTCTTTTATTAGGAAGGAAGAAACGTGTAAAAAAAAAAAAAATATATATATATATGTATACCAATTATGCGGTAAGTAAATCCACTAGATTGGATGGACTAAATCCCTGTTGCAGTGTGGGAAGCAATGTGGATTTAACCAGTGTTCAAGGAATTGTTCTTCTGATCTCTGCTCCAAGCGCTGGAGGTAAAGCATATGCTCCTATTTAAAGAAAAGGAAACGTCATTTAATTATGTAAACATTCAAGTCTGATGTCAGCCCAATGAACCAGTAGAATTTTACAGCTTACATAAAACGACTGAATTTACCCCTGAAAATTATTAAGATGAATGAAATGGGGCTGCCAGTCAGTTTACCCAAACCTCAGCGATGTTAGCAATATTTAAAGAATGACACCAATAAGCAAGTCAGCCCATCCTCCATTTCTTCTCTTCCCTGAAGGGTTACTGAGAATCCCCAGGTAGTAAAACAATCTCCTCAGATGCTATAGGAATGGATAAGTGCTTAGTTTTCTCATTTTCTGCCCCCCAGAACAGGAGTTAACGTTCCTCCCTGTAGAACTTGCTAGTGCTGCTCTTTGAGCTGACCAGAGGTTCGCTGGACAGCAGCATTAGTGTCCTGCCTCTCACTGTGCTCTCTCTTCCTCACAGCCCAAGGACTTCCTCCCTCGCTGAGACTGCATTATGAACCTGCAGAAAACAGGATTATGTGATTGAGCTGATGCCACGTGACGAAAAGGGGGGTCTTGGTCAAAGTAAGATTAAAATATGTTGATAACATAAATGACATTTTTAAAATAATAAAAGATGGCTCCCCTTGCTGTCTGTAGCTGAACAGGCTTTTTGATTCGAACTGCACGGTAGAAGTCAAACAGTGTCACAAAGAACTACAAATTAAATTCCCCAGCCCAGCATGATCTGGCCTAGTTCAAATAGCTTTTGCTTAAAATAGATGCACAGAGGTAGGTTTATCCCAGCATTAATTTCATCCTGCTGCAAAGAATCCACACAAAATCAGTTTTCTTTCCTGTGCCTGTGGCAGGACTGTGCACAGGGATACAGCAGGCATGCCCCTTTATTTGGAAGGGAAAATCCCCACGTTCCATGTGCGGAGCATATGAAAACCTACTGAAAACCTTGACATTTATTGAACTATCAAGTACTCTTGTGGTTGGGTTTTCCCACAGAAAGCCAGTTTTGTCATATAAAAAAGAATAGGTTGGAATTTCTCCTCTAAAAAGAGTCACAACAAAGTATTTACTACTAATCCTAGTAGTATGGAAAGTGGCCAGGACAGAGCAGCGGAGGTCAGGAATCAAATACTTCTCTAGCAGTAGCTCATTTTACTCCCCACCTGTATGCTTGTAACTTCCTATAGTACAGGATTTAACTCAGTCCAGCTTCTCTACTGTTGTAAATATGTTTAACATATTTACTACATAAAGTATCATATAATCATGGCTGTATATTCTTGGTGGTATATTGAGTATAACCATGGATGGGAACTCTACTGCTCATCTGCAGAAACTTTACAAGGCTCATTTCACAACAGCTTAGAAAGCAACCTCATCCTGAACATTGTGGTTAACAGCGAGGTCTATGCCTACTGTTTTTTGGCTCTGTTTTACAGTCTTAATTGTACAAGGTTGTTAACAAGCATGGTGTAATATTCTTGTGACAGCTTTGATTTGTTGTGGCCATTCACAGCTGACAAAGGAGAAGTGTGTACATCAGAAGTGGTGTACGGTCAGCCACCCGCAACTGCCAGGTGGATTCTTTTTGGCTGGTATACAATAACCATTGGAAAGGGAAAACTACTAGCTGTCTCTGCAAGCCTGGCACACATCGAGTTCAATCCTGCAAGGGACGTAGCGCTCTTAACGTCTTATGCAGTTCAGAAGAGTTCAGCACCTTGCTAAACTGAGCCCCTTACGTTCATCACACTTGCACAATCTATTGTGTGTTTTCTGGCTTCTGTGGTTTTAGCCTCTTCAGACCCATGTAATTTTAGCATAGTTTATTTACTTTGGAAAGAAACACGCAGTAATTTTAAAATACCTTAAGTAGCTCTTGAGAAGTGCAGAATTATATGTTACATCTTGTCAAAGTAAGGAAAATAGAAGGCTCCTAACTTCTTTTGCTTTTTCTTTTGTTGTAATGAGGTTTAGAAATCAATAAATGTAAATATTAAATACAAAACCAATGCTATTGTGTTACGTTAGCAATGCAAAACGTGTGCAATATCATACAAACCATCCTTTCTGTAGCATTTACAAAAAAGTGAATGAAAGAAAGTGATTTTAAAAGCTAGTTGAGAAGTACCTCAATCTCCACACTGACCACTGACACCTGCATCTCCTGTCTGCCTTGAGTGCAGAATGTACTGCAAGCAGAAGACCATTTCCTGTTATTTTAATTTTTTCAGGAACAACCCAATGAACTCCACGTTTCTACAAATGAAAAGGCACTTTCTTCTCAATAATTTAACCTGCTTTTTTGAACTGTGATACATTTAGAGGATAAATAATTTCACATTCTGCAAGCGTACATTTCCTGAGCAATATTCAGCATTTACAGAATGCTACTTAACAGTCATTGAAGAATGCAAAGGGGTTTAAAAATATTTCACAGAAGAACTCAACTGCTTAAAAGGCTGATATTTGTAACTAATTGCACCAGCTGTTTGGATTTACATTTATAGAAATCTACTATTAAGCACAAACAAAACTTTTTTACTTAATTTGCTTTCAAAATAAATATCATAAATCACCCTCATTGGCTCATCAGGGAAACCAGCTTTTCTTTGTCTGTCTTCACGACGAGTTCTCAGAACCTGTTTGGCTTCTTTTTCACTCAAAATTGGTGATGTGTCTAAAGGTGGAGAAGCAGAGATTAAATAGGAAATTACTGAAAAGTTAATGTTTTATCTTTCAGATGAAAATGAAATGTCTCCAAAGCTGATTTTTGTCTATCTACAAACTGTTCTTTCATTACAGCCCCTTCCCAGGGGATATCGCATTCCAGGAGATATGAGCGGAATTTTAAACCATTTTTATACTTGTGCTTTCTATAGTGTAGTTCTGCCAGGATGAAACAAACCCAACACATTAATGTTACTGTCTAAAATAAGAAAATATATCAGCACCATTTAACCACTGATATTAGTAACTCTTCCCTTTCTTTGTTCTTTTCTGTGTTGCTTTACTTTTTAAGATGATGTTCTGAAGTAACGAGTTAGACTTTTGTTACAATATTGTATTGAATATCTAACTACTGGGGTCTGGGTAAAATAGTATTTAAATTGTAAGCTCATAAAATAAGACGCTTTTGTTTTGCAATAAATGACTACCGTGTGGTAATGCAGAGAGTAAAATATCTAATGCAATAGCATGATTGTTAAAAATCAAATCATGGAAATCCTGCAATATAATATCATATTTGGTTCTTTATACAGTTAAGTGTTAAAAATTAAATGCAAAGATATTAAATACAAGATTAAAAGACCTGTATGATGATAATATGCTCTGCAGCTCTACATACATAAGCAGATTTGCGTTTATATAAACTCCTACCTGTAAAAACAGTCAGGAGGACCAAAATGAAGATAAACACAAGTAACTGCTTCATTTTGATTCTGCTTTCTCTCAAGCCTGTCCCAAACTGAGTAACGCTGCCCGAGGCATGAGCCTACTTGAAGTAGCTACGTCAGTCACAAGTGTTTGTTTATGCTTTAAACTAATTTGACTTTTAGCATGATTCTGGAGACATCTGGCCCCGAGCTCCGAAGGCGGCTGCGCTCTGCCCAGACATTCCCAGCATAGCTCCGCTCCTGAGGGAAGGAAAGAGCAGGCTGTGTTTCCACCTCAGGTGTCACAGCTCCTCCAGCTTCTTTTTTTTTTTTTTCCCCCCCCCCCCAAAGTTTGTGAAAATTAAACACATCACCTCGCGCTTAGCAAAGCGAGCCGCCTACGATAAGTGACTTTAAAAAACAAGCAAACAAACAAAAGGCAGCTGCCCGCTCCCGCACGTTAATTTCAGCGGGGCCTCCGCTAAGCGGCGCCCAGCGCAGCAGCAGGTGTTCACCTGGTCTCACTCCAGCAAAGCCGAAGGGCACACGCGTTTTACTCCCCCGCGGGCTGGGCCCCGAGCGAGGCAGGCGTTGACACAGCCCCCTTCGCCTCTGGCGCCAGTCGGC